ATCTCTAAAAGTAACTTTTAAATTTTCTCTCCAATAAAAATGTAAACTTATCACTTATGAACGGTACAAAAAAAGTAAAAGCTCTTACAAGCTAACCCAAACATGCTCTATATAGGAGGTGGAATAGGAAGTAGAAAAGTGACAAGAAGTAGTTCAAGAGAAGGGAAATTGAATTTTTTTTTTTTTCCTTTTTCCCCTTCTTTGCGATATTTGTTGTGAATATGTTGTGAATATGCTCTATGTGATTTGTGTCAAAAAATCTTGTGCCAATTTTTCCTTCTAAATATTGTGACGATGAATATTTGAGCTACTAGGGCACCTAAATATTGAACAAAATATCTGATATATCCCATTTTCCCACTATTTAATTAAATTCCAGGACTCTGATTTTCTATTTATAAAACCCTTCACCATCATTTGAGATACCAAAGGTCTTGTGTATTTATGTGGTATTGAGGTATCAATGCTTCATGAATACAGCTTAATTGTGATTAGCTGATGTATAATTGGATTGAGTGCTAGATTAGCACCAAGAAGAGAGAGTTGATGAGTTCATCATACCTACAGGATTATAAAGTGCATGGTAGTTCAAGATTATCAAATTCTTACTACTCCTTAAGGTTGTTGAAAGTTGAGTGGCTCATTGAATTCATTTCTAATTATGATTTTGCTTTTGTGCTAACAGTGTGTGTGATTTTTAGTACCTAATTTCTGTTTCCATGTGTTGTTGATCTTTTGACACTCTAAATGTGTCACTGTAGAAAATCATCTTAGAATCCATGTGTCTCTGAATTTGGTTAGATTGTGGAAAAAGATGAACAATCTTTTTTATTGGAACTGGTGTTCTGAGAGGATCTACTTGCCTGAATTTATCATTGGCAACAACCCTCATACTGCAGGTAGTGATGCCCACTGTAGAAGCTGATGTGGCATTTGGCCTTGGTAGGTTGAACCTAACTGATGATGAGGTGAGATTGAGGGTGTTAAAATCGTTGGATGCAGTTGGCATGTCTGAGTATCTGCAGGTAGATATTGTCAAATTACCAGCTTTATAGATGAACTGTTAAAATCTTTTCTAGAGGGCTTTCCTTTTTCACTTTTCAGAGGCCAGTTCAGACACTTAGTGGTGGTCAAAAACAAAGGGTAGCCATTGCTGGTGCTTTAGCTGAAGCATGCAAAGTATTGCTGCTGGATGAGCTAACAACATTTTTAGATGAAAGTGATCAGGTGAGGAATATGTTAAAGTATTGGTATGCTTGTGTATGAGTATGCACTGGTGCTTAATTATGTGAGTTTTTGTGACACATTTGCAGCATTTTAAAAATAAAAAGGAAGGAAGAAACAAGCACACAAACACATATGATAAGCATTCATACAATTTTGTTGTTAGCCCAACGGATTTTCTTTAAAATCTTGCTATTCTTTTTTTCTCTTTTTTGAATGAGACAATAGCATAGGAAGGACAGTAAAGGGTATTTTTAACGTTAAAAAACTGACATTGATTAATCTGTTTTGAAGAGGGAAAAAAATAGGTTAAATCCCTAATTTGGTCCCTGAACTATTGTATGGACCCCCAATTTGGTCCCTAAACTAAAAAAATCCTTGATTTGGTCCCTGAACTATTGTATGGATCCCCGATTTGGTCCCTGAACTATTGTATGGATCCCCGATTTGGTCCCTACTGTTTACCAATTTGCCCCAAGTTGGTCTTTTTGTACAAAAAACAGCTGATATGTCTCGTTATTAACGTAACACGTGGCCGTTAAGTTATTGTTTTCTGCCGTTAAGCTACTGTTTTTCGCTGTTAAGTAATGGACACATCAGCTGTTTTTTGTATGGAAAGACCAATTTGGGGCAAATTGGTATATAGTAGGGATCAAATCGGGGATCTGTACAATAATTGAGGGACCAAATCAGGGATTTTTAGTTTAGGGACTAAATTGGGGTCCGTACAATAGTTCATGGACCAAATTGTGGGTTTAACCAAAAAAATATGTCTGGCACCAATATCTGGTACAATTCCTCATAATAGTTGTTGGTTGAAAATAATATCTCATACAATGTTTTTGGTACGTTATTGGGTAGTTATGTAATGTCACCCATGATTTTCCATCAGTTTGAGTTTGACATACTTCTGAAAAAAATTGCATGCAATTGCTTGAGCAGATTGGGGTGATAAAGGCAGTTAAGAATCTGTTGGATAAATCTAGAGAAGTCACAGCATTGTGGGTCACCCATCGTTTGGAAGAACTTGAGTATGCAGATGGCGCAGTATACATGGAAGATGGGAGAGTGGTTATGGATGGTGATGCAGCAAGCGTGACTAATTTTATCAAAGCCAAGCAATCCTCTTACATTGATCAGATAAATTCTTGAACAAAGATTTCTCTTTTTCAGCTTTTACATGCTTTCCCTTTGCACAATAACTACCTACATAACATTGTTCTCCACAAGTTTGCAATGTATCACCTTCCATTTCCTTTGGCGAAGCAATATTTTCTGCCCTCCATAACTATTATCCAATAAGGAGCCTCAGCTGAAATCACAAATGGAAGTAGGAAGGAAGGTGGGAGATGATTTGTTTGGCTACTGTGGGTGATTGGTTCTGTCCAAGACATGCATTTGGACACAGGCATGGCCCATGCTGATTAACCAGGTTCAGCACTCTTCCGGACGATCAAAATGTGCTTTGATGAAGTATGTTAACAAAAACGAGTAGGGATAAATTCTTTCTGAATAAGTATAAAATGCCCAAAAAGAGATCAATATGTATGCAATATCATAATTCTATCAAGCTTGTGTAGAACTTTGAATGAAAATAGGAACCTTCTTCTAAGAAGATCACTAGGGGATTTATTACTTTGGACATCTTTGCTATATATGTGTTATATTTCTATAATTTGAATATCTTCTTAACTATCTTGTGATTGATATTGAAGCCTTGCTTTTAGACAATCATAGAGACTGAACTAACTTGATATCACCCTGCAGAGAAAGCTTTTTCATTTTGATGCACACGCACGCATATGATACTACTATCCATTTACCGACGGACCTCGTATTATGTTGAACTAGATTTGTAACTTCATTCAGTGAACTGTGAAATGTACACATACGTAACTTCTCTGTGCCTGAGTTTCTGTCATTTTTGTTGAAGACTTCAAAAAGGGTTTGGTGAGAACCAACAATTATACGGCCGCCAATTCGGGTCAATGCCTTTCTGCCAAAATGCACTAGAGTTGGTTAATTTTGCATGGAAAAAATGTGCAAATAAAAATGTTAATTTTGGATTTTTTTAATTTAAAAGTATTAATTTTTTTAATTTTTAATTTTTTTATTTAACAATAATAGCTTTTAATTTTTTCTATTGAAGAATGTGAACTTTTAATATTTCAATTAAAAAATTTATTTGGTATGGTAATATTACTATTCAATTAATCTTTAAATTAAAAAGATAAAAAGTTAATATCTTTAAATTAAAAAAAGTTAAAATTGACATTTTAAAATAAAAATATTAATAAAAAATTAACAGTTAATATTTTTATTTAAAAATTAATAAAATTAATATATTTAAATAAAAAAATTAATTTTTTTATTTACACATTTTCTAATTTTTCAATGCAATACTGATTTTGCTCTTCTAGCCTAAATTGAAGGCCAAACGGGCAAGATGCACCCAATAGGTCCCGGGGAGATATTTCCTCGTACGGTGTTTGAATTGAAATATTAATTATTTCCCTTTCCAAAATTCTATGCCAAAGGCATGGCCCATTGCCCTAACTAAACCATGCAAAAACCTATCTTTAATTCTTCACCTTATCAAATTTGAAGATTTTAACTTCTTACCTTATATTATAATACTTTTTACCACTCATTTTATTAGATTTATAGGTTTTAGCCCCTCATTTATTAAAATTGAAGAAAATAACCCTCATTTTATATTTACTGTTAACTCTGTTGGTTGAAAGTAAGTTTTTGTGAACTAATAGTTAAATAATAGTCAGTTAATAGAATGAATGAATGGAATATTATAAAGTTAGTCTGTTAATTTTGTTAACTAAAAAAGAGTTTTTGTCAGTTAATAGTCAACTAATAAAGTTAACAATCAACTAACATAATAAATAAAATGTTATAAAGTGAGGGCTATTTTATTCAATTTGAAAAAGTGAAGGGTTAAAAGTGTTATAATATAAGGTGATAAACTAAAACTTACAAATCTAATAAAGTGAGGAGCTAAAAGTGTTATAATATAAGATGAATGGTTAAAACTTTTAAATTTAATAAAAGAGGAGCTAAAAGTAGGTTTTTGTCAATCCAAAGCCCTCTTTTTGGAAATGGCCAACAAAAACAGTAGTGTTTGAATTTATAAATTGATCAAACTTTTATTTAAACTTTAATATTTTTGTTTTTGTAATTAACATTTTAAAAAATTTTTATTTTTAATCAATATTTTTTATAATTGAAAATTTATTAAAAAGTCAAAATTAACAATTAAATTACGTTCAAATCAAGCTAAAAATAGGAGGTTATTGTTAATTTTTAAAATTTTTTTATAGATTTTAAATTTTAAAAAATATTAATTAAAAATAAAATTTTTTTAAAATTATTTATGATAAAAAACAATAATATTCTAATACATAGAGAGATTTATGCTTATAAATTTTAGTTTAAAATCAATCACTACAGGTTCATTGTACAAAAGATCACTACTTTTTAATATATTTTTGCTTTAGTTTTGTTGCAAATGAAATGATACTTATATTTTCAAACTAGTACCTGATACCCAACTCGAAATATAAATCAGATAATTTTTATTTGTTTAATTATTTGGTTCGGATTTAGGGACTACTAGAGTCCAAAATCTTTTACTGGTTGGTATTGTCAAAGGCTCATTCCGTGAACATTTAGTAAAGCAACAAAGAACTTCTATTTATTAAATAATTTATTAATTTAAGCGAAAAAAATTTAGTTATTTTATATAAAATTTTAAGTTTAAATTTTATAAATAAATAAAATAGTATTAAAAATTTTTAATTAAAAAAAAAATTAAATGCACCTAGCCTTAGCCAAGACGCCTGCCCAAGAAGGCAAGAACCATCGTAAGTGGACCATTAGTCCACCTCTTCAACAAAATGGACAGAACCTGATACTCTTGAAATCCGAGAGTCCAGGTTTTTATGAAAAGAAATTAAATAAAATAAGGGGGAAAAAAATAAAAAGGGAGCTAAAAGTATCCACTGAGAAAGTCT